CCCCCCCCCCCCTCCCCCCCCCCCCCCCCCCCCTCCCTAAAATGCAATTTTTTTTTGGCGAGAAACGATTTCGGGAACCAGACAAGGTAGAAAAATGAAACTTTACAAGCATATTCTATGTGCTTGTGTAAGCTAAAAGTTTCAAATTCAGTTACTGCACGAGCTCGTGCAGAGTGTACAGTCACGTCAAAATTCGCACTTGGCGCTGTGCTAAATCGAAAACTAGCCGGGAAACAGTGAGTGAAATTTTGTCAGAATATTATCATCCGCGTGGGAAATCGTGTACCTAAACTGATTTCCGATTTGCACTTGTGCTACGATGTTAGGCACTTCAAAGGTATTTGTGGCGAAGTGACTATTTCGCTTATCGGATAAGGTGCAAAGCTGAAAATTCGCTGGGACATTCTATTTTAGTGTGCGGCCTTAGTTCTGTTTGGAGATGAAATTCCCTGCATGTGGGTGTAAAAATACTCAATTTTATCGCAAGCTCAAATGCGAGTACATTTTGCAGATTTAATAATTCTTTTTCGACTTCCTTAAAATTTGCATTTTTTTAATGAACAAGCATTTGTGAGTAATGAGTTATTTTGCCGGGCATTATACTCAGTGAGTAATTTCCCCGCCAAAAGATTCAAGTGCCCGTACACGAGAAGCACGCATTCCTGGAGGCTGAGTTTGAAATATTTAAGTTGTACTTAGACAGGGTCATTTCCAAAAATTTCAGCTTTCTAGCTTTCCTGGTTCTCGAGCTAGTAATTTTCTCGCCAAAATTTTCACTGGAGTACTTCGTGAACCGGGAGGGCTGAATATGAAATCTTTAAATTGTACGCTGACAGCAACATCCCCTTAAAATTTTAGCCTTCATGCTTTTATGGTTGCTGTGTTAGCTATTTCCCCGCCAAATCTTTTGCGAGCCCGTACTTGATAACCACGGACGCCTAGAGGCTGAATTTGAAATCTTAATTTCACACATGCACAGAGAATCTCCATGCAGAGCTTCACCTCACAACCTTTTCTATTTCTTGAGACCCAGCTAAAAAATTTGCATATTTTTCTAAGGCGTCCGGGCGTGGGACCTAGACGTACGCGGACGATGATGTTAAAACGAGAGGGATGCACATGATGTGAGCATATACTCCCGAAGTTTCAGTATTCTAGCTTTTCAGGTTTTTGGGTTGAAAGTGGGTGATAAAGATGCGAACACACACATACACAAAGACAGCCTCAGGCTAATATGCGTTTTTGCATTTGCATATGTACAAAAACGCATTAAAAAGTGGAATGCATAATTAATCGTTCGTGTCAATATCGGTCAGCGGCATCATTTTTACAAAAGGCTTTTTATGCGTTTTTGCCGTGCAGCGCTAGAGCGCTGACAGGCAACAAAAACGCATATTGCAACGACCCTGTCAGTGTGTGTGTGTGTATGTTTGTGTGTGTGTGTGTGTGTGTGTTCGTCTGTCCGGGTATTTCAACTCGCTAATACGCTATTGGAACGACCCTGTCAGTGTGTGTGTGTGTGTATGTTTGTGTGTGTGTGTGTGTGTGTGTGTGTGCGTGTGTGTGTGTGTGTGTTCGTCTGTCCA